AGCAGTGCTCATCATTAGGATAGAACAATAGGCGCAAGGAGTAGATGGGTGATCATACAGTATTTTTTTTTCGAATTTGTCTAAAAGTTCTAAAAGTTTTTCCGAAGGGCGCCATGGCTGCAATGACAAAGCGGACACCGGCCGGAGCATTCGGCAAGTTCTGATTCACTTCGTTACGATCCACATATGCAGAAAGGAACGAAATGTCACGAGCGTTATTATTATTATTATTCACACGACGAGTATCGGGATCAGAAACAATAAAATCCGAAATGGGATAATTATTCATGGGGGGTTTTTTTTTTTATTTTGCTAGAGAAATGTATTGACAAATTTTTTTTCAACAAAATTAATCTTTTAGACAAGATGTCCCAAACGCATTCTTTTTATACAACTTATCGAGGGTGAGCATCATCACGTTTTACGCAAATCAGGATTGGAGATTAGATTTTTATTTTTATTTTGTTTTTCAAATCAGTAAAACAATAAGATATTGATCGATTGATCACAAAAAAAAAAAATAATCTATATTAAAAAAAAAAAATTTACTTCATTACACAACAGCAAGCCAAAAACATCGATCATTCATCATCGCTGTATGCCTCATTGTTTGATCGGTGATCGAGATCAAGGTCTTCCTCTTCGTCGTTGGAACACAACAACTCGGGTCCTTTCCCCTTTCTGTTAACTTGATCCATCGCCGTTTGTAAGGCTTTTGCTCTTGTGACGGGCCTGTTTTGTGGACTCAGCTCTGTGCAAACTTTCTTGTGAGATTTATTGTCATCAACCACCACTACTTGTCTTTTATTATTTTCTACGGTGTTGGTGGTGGTAGCGGCTGATGTTGAGGTCGACGGTGATGTGGATGATGATGCAAAAGACAACGGTGATGACGCAAACGACGACGATGATGACGCATTGTTGACTTTGCGCCTATTGTTTGACTTTGCGCCTACGTACTTCTCCTCTATGTTCAGAAACTTTTGCCTGCGCATGCTTTTTCCAGGCGAAACCTGCTCATTCTTCACTTTTGGAAATATCCAATCAACCTCGGCACAAATTATTTGTGCGAGGTTCTCGCCTACGAACAATTCTCCTGCAGCGCTAAAGATCGGTGACCTTTTTGACGCTTCCACGATTGCAGAAGATCTTGGGTTTGAGGGGTCATAGACGCAAGGGATCTCGATGTCTTCGCTTGAGGAAGTGAACGTATTGTAGATTTTCTTTCCCAGAACAAAAAAATTACACTCGTCATCAGTGGCCACTGCTTCTGCAACACACGGAGCACAAAATGAAGCAAACAATGGGGTAATTGGGAGGTCGTGGACTCCAGGTTCCTCGTGAATTGTTTTTAGGTCAAGATCTACCGCCTTTAACACAATTACCTGCGAAAATATTTATTGTCAAGTTAGTTTAGGCGTAAAGGAACAAAACACTTCCTTCACATACACAGTATAAATATATTTACGTATAGTTGACCAGAAACAAACAGAAACTTGCCCACAATGGACATTATTTGGTGTTTTTCTATTTGATGGACCAGGTTGTTGTCAGCGGAGTTCATTCTAAATGCTTTGTAATTGACAGCCACCCCAGTCACCGTATGTGATCCACTGGCTGACTTGATGAACATTATAGATGACAAGATAGACGACATAGCAAATAATCAAAATTATTAAAGTAGTCAAAATTAAAGAAATACTATGCAAAAAGCAAGTGAGTAAAAAATATTCGAAAGGCGAATCAGTTTGTTTTTTATTCATTTATTTATTTATACATCCCAGATCAAAGGTCAATTTGATCGATCAGATGTTTTTTTCAAGCCTACATCACCATAAAAGAATAAATTTCGATTGTTAAAAAAAACAACTAAGCTTTTTTTTCCTAATTAAAAGAAAAAAAGATCCTTCGCAAAGAAGAACCCTCGTGTGAATCAAAAGCCATTTGCGAATTTCGATTGTTTAAGGGTAGAGCATACGTAACACAAATCTACTATGATCTACAATGACTAATTTTGATTTTATCCGGTTAAAAAAGTAAGCCACATATTAAATTGTACAAATTTTATATCTTTAGCTTCTCAAGTTTCTGAGTTTTAATTTAATATACAAACCATAAAAAAATATTCTATTCTTGCTAGAGTTATTACAACTTTAAAGTCAAACCTATTTTCAGATTACTAATTAAACATAGTAAAATT